TTAAAAAGACCAGAACTATTGCCAAAACTGAACACTTTAACAACAGAATAATCAGAGAAGCCATCGAGATAGAAAAACGCCCACACAGCATGAATAAACGAGATGATACCTCCTGCCTACCAGCCATTTGGAAACCCGCCCTTATTGGCAAACGAGTCCCTAACACAAAGAATGACACCAGACCCACACTCACGAAAACTACACAGGATGTCACCACCACACATCCACGCAAAAAGCAAAGCCAAACCCACACAGATGATGAGGCACGACCACAAACTAGAAGCCAGTCCACAGCTGCATCATTAGCCACTTTAAACCCCTCCAATCCATACATGAAGCAAACTGACACCCACCATAAAGATGTGGCACGAACACGAACACGAAGCCAAACAACAGCAACGAAGCTCACCATCTCAAATCCCCCTGCAATTCAGACTAACCTGAGCACAACAAAGCCCCCACCCAAACAGAACACTCCCCCATCCAATCAGAGCACAGCCAACCCCCCATCCAATCAGATCAAACCCCACTGGCAGTTAAAAGGAAGAAGCAGCTGCGATCACACACTACTCCTAGAAGCACGAAGCTGAAGACACCAGCCTGAAGATGACGAATGTGACTTCGTCGAAACGTCACCAAGACACTTCCAATTTTACGCGGGAGAAAACCCGATTAACCAAAGACCTACATATATATATATATATATATATATATATATATATATATATATATATAATTGATTTGTTTAAAACTAACAACCTTAGTGCTTAGTAAACAGCATGTTTTCTGGGTTCACATTTCACAACAATAATAGTCCATTTCTATCATATCGTACTCTACTTTCCTGGGATTTTCTCTTCTTCCCTTATTGTTCTCTTTTGCAAAAATTAAGTTAATACAGGTCTTAATATTTTAGTAACAAAGAGGTTAAATATAAACATTTTTCTAATATTTATCCAATTAATAATAGCATCAATATAGAACTTCTTTTCTAGTTAGTCCTCTTGGTTGCGTTATATGTCCTGTTTTCAACGTTCTCATTTAGACTTTTTTCCCACAAAATTTGAATAATTTTACCTGTTAAGATTTTCTCAAAATTGATTTACGGTTAAATGTCTAAGCTGTTTCCCTCACAATAATCCTCCCAACAATTACATTTCTCATATCATAAAAAAAATACTACTCAGAATAAGAAAAAAGAAAAAGAAAAAGAAAAACATATCTCTCTCAAACTAAAATTCATTTATATCCCCCATTTTTTCATTTTTAACTCTATTCCATTCGATATTTACTGATTAAATACTCCATGTTATATTTTAACCATATTCAAACAAATACTTAATCTTTAAAAATTGCATCTGATAAGACAGTTACGTTTCTCATATCATAAAAAAATATATTTTAACTCTATTCCATTCAATAGTTACGGTTGAGTAGTCCATATTATATATTAACCATATTCAAACAAATGCTTAATCTTTAAAAATTGCTTCTAATAGGTCCAATTTTCTGATCCCTTGGATCTGATTTTAATCTTTTTCTTTCACCAAACGGCTTTTCTCATCCATCTATTCCACTTAATTAAAAAGTCTTGCCATTTTCTTGTGGATGTTGTTAAGGATGGGAGAGGCAAATCAGGTAAGATGTTGATTTCTTTTATCTTTTTTTGTCTCTCAAGTCGTAGGTTTTTTAGTATCTCTGTGATCTAGTTTGTCAGGCTTTTCTTCTTATCTTCGGCTTTGTTTTGTGATTCTGGGGTGTGGACTATCTCTTCCAGTTCCAGTGCTTCAGTCATGTCTTGTGTGTTTTCCTCCATCTGTGTTAAATCAGAATCCCTTCCATTGGTAGATTCTTTCATTTTCTGAAAATTCTTATGTTGTGAGGTTAACATATGTCCATTTATATCATCCAAGTTATTTTTAATTTCATTGTGGTGTAGAGTCATTGTTGTTTGGATTAGTTGCAACATAGTGAGCATTTCCTCCTGGAAAGTATTTGGTTTTTCTTGACAAGTTCTTTTTGCAAGTTCCTGAGGTTCCATGATAGCTAAAACTCAAAAAAAAAACTTTCTCTGAAAACAGCTTTAAAGTCACAGTCAATAAGTGTTTATCATCCTGGAAGGTCAGTTATGTTTTTTTACAATTATAGTCTTTGCTTATTGTGGCTGGCCCAGAATGTTTTATTTAGCTCTTTTTAAAGATCAAAGAAGTAGGTTAGCTCATTCTGGGCGTCCTGCCAATACTTATAACAAAGCAGCTAGAGTTATATATTCTCTTCCACCACTAGATGTCAGCAACAGTATGTTTCTGTCCCCCTTAATAATTTAATTCGCCACTTCCTTCTGTGGGAGGGTGGGGCAAAGCTCCCCCTCCTTTTCACTTTCAGAGGCTTTTTTGCTTCTTGGGGTATCTTTTCCAAAAGTTCAGGATATAAAGTAGGAGAGAGATCAAATTTCTCACCCAGTTTCAGCATGCTGTTCACCGATGTTCTGGTGAGCACTTATGGACTTCGGCTGCAAGTAGCTTGGGCTGGTAACCGAGGTGGAGCCAGCCTTTCTCCTGTCAGGTTAGAGGGAATTCCCAGATCGAACAGGATGACCGCCATCGTTCCCGGATCGCTGGGGCACCCCTCTTTCTTCACCGCCTCTTCACGGCAGCTTTAGACCCATTTAGGCTCCCCTGGCAGGATGAAAAGAGCCATGGGAAGTGGAGCTTTGCAATCCCACAACCGTGTGCTACCGCGCAAAACTGGAAGTCCAAGAGTTGAAGACTTTCATGCTAAATCTTGTAAGCATTTTAGAAAGAAGAGAAAGGCTAGTTTATATTTGTTTTATTACATTTTGAGTCTTGTTAAAATGTTACAATTAATAATTTTTGCAAGGTTCCATGTCTATCCTTCGTATTGTTTTTCAGTCCTCTGACAAAATGAGATCAATGTTGAAATGGCAATGGAAAATAAAAATGGATGTTTAAGCTACAATACAATGACTGCCTTGGTCCACCTGCCATCAGTCACATAGCAAGAAGAACTGATGGCAAGTGGACCAAGGCAGTCATAGAATGGATTCCACTTGATAAAAAGTGTCCACAAAAGAGACCTAAAACAAGATGGATTGACAACATCAGCAAGTATTACGGGCCCAGTTGGCAAAAGAAAGCTCGGGACTGTATTGGTTGGAAACATGCGGAAGAGGCCTTCATCCTGCAGTGGATAGACAATGGCTAAAATGATTATGATGATGATGCTACAATAGCTGCTCTGAGAATATGGACATTGCTTAATTATACTGTATGTCATTAAAATTAGTTCCTAATTGCATATTGCAAAAATATAAAATCAATTAAGTTGTTTTTTTTTGAAACCTGGCATATATTTCATTATAAATCCCTTTGGTAGACAGTCAAACTTGAGGTATGAAAGAAGAGAATTTTAAATCTGCAGGCTCCAGTATGTTACTATAACTAGTTCCTCCTTTAATTGGAAATGATAAATCTGCTGTTCAAGTCTGAATTCATTCTAAAGTGACTCATCTTGAGACGTTGATTATTGCAGTCAAAGAAAAGAGACTCAAGGTGGTAAGCAGTCTAATAATGTGTACTGAAATACTGTATAGAATTAATGACACAATAATTGTAATACAATTGTAATACAATTAAGTCTTTAGGAAAATACAGTGACATTATTGATAATCTAGTTTACATAAAATGAATTTAGTCATAGACTTCTAACAGCTTCACTTTGTTTAGTAAACCTTGTCTCACTCTCCTTGAAAACATAAGAAATTATTTAAAAATATATCAAGCTTACCTTCTTTTTCTATTAGGTGAAGTTATAACATCTCATGGTGCTATTGAACCAGATAAGGATAACATTCGTTTAGAGCCATAATCTTTACCGCAGGGTTTTACCTGGGACTCGTTGGATCTGAGCAGTGCCGAAGTTGTAAGTAGAGTTACTTTTAGTCTTTCAAATACAAATTGGGGCGTGTGTGTATGTGTGTGTGTTATACATTGTCAGAGTAGTGTAATCATCAATGGACATGAACTGGGGAGATCCAGGTGCAGGTCCCCTCCTGACCATATAGTTCTCTGTTTGACTTTGGACCTCTATGTTAGGGTTCCATTTGTTTTTTCTGGGAAAGAAAATAGCAAAGAAAACACCTCTTTCCCCCCATATACTGAATTCTTAGATCACAAGGGGAAAATGTTGAGTTCCAGAACAGAACAGAAGTGAGAGCAAAACATCTTGGTTTTATTACAACCAATTGTTAATGAGGTGGCGTTTGGATCAAAAAGTTGGTATTACATTACAGGATGTAAATTTGATGAAACAGATTAGAGATCAATCTCAAGCTCATATAAAAAGAATTTATAATGCATTGATTGAATTGGATTCAGAAACAGAATTGGTTAAGGATTGTATGATAAAATGGGCTCAAAATATACAAGAACCGATCCTACTGGAAACATGGGAGACAATTTGGATTAGGAATGTAAAATTTACTCAAGCTCAAAATTTAAGGGAAAATTTTTATAAAATGTTTTATAGGTGGCATTTGGATCCTCAAAAATTGTCCTGCATGTATCCTAATCTACAACCAAAGTGTTGGAGATGTGGAAACTTAGATGCAACCTATTTTCATATGTGGTGGACATGCAGGGGAGTAAAGGCATTCTGGATAAAGATATGGTGGATGTTAAGTCCGGAGAATAATGGCGCTTGAAGCAATGCATTTCCAACATGTCTTTATTCTCTGACTACAATCTACGAACGAACCGAGCAGAGGCACGCAGGCCTCTATTTATACCCTCTGATCCCCGGGCAATTCCAACCAATCACAAGGCTGTCTTTTCCCGCCTTACGCATGCGCGCAAGGCCAGCGCCGCTCAGTCTGGTTCCGGGCAGCTTTTGCAAATGCCCGGGACTCTTGCAACGCCCCGAGCCTGCTTCTGCAGGCTCAGGACACAACACCCCTCCCCCCTAGATAAAATAATACTGCGCCCAACATGGACGCCACCATGGTAAAGGGTGTGTTACTAACTGTTACAATAATTTTACGGCGGGACTTCCGGTGGCAGGCGACCTCGTCGGACGCAGCTGTTTGCTGCCTCCCGCCTGTTTCAGCGTAAAAGCCGTTTTGACAGCTAGCATCAGCTGTCAAACGGCTTGATACCCTTCCCCTGGGCATAAGGGGATAGGTGAGCTGCCCGGGGTAGGAGTTGAGTTCCCAAGTCGTCCCTTGTGGACGATGTAGGTTAGAACTCCTCCGGAGCCCCGAGGTTTCTCCGCGATCCAGGACGCCTTCGCTTCGGCGAAGCTAGAAGCCGCCGCCACTGCTGCAACTTAAATTGAACTGTGAGTTTTTTTTGTAAGCAGACGAACCGACCCTGGAAGTTTGCTTTTTATCTTGGACTTTGCTCTAACTTGGATAATAAGTTCTTCCCTATACTTGAGGTGGATTGAGGGAAAGTGAACTTAAAATGGCGATGGATTGATACTTTTCAGCAAGAAGTGAAAGTGATTTCCGGTCTGGAACTTTTGTTACTTTTAATCTGCGTAT